TTGGACTTTCTTTGTTGGCCCACTGAGGCTATAGTGGAAGGAGCTGTTATGCACACAATACCTGTCATAGCTGAGGCTGTAGTGGAAGGAGGTATTGTATGGAGCGTGTGCACGGTCCAATGCTCTGATCAGAATATGTGAGTGCAGCTTAGAGGTCAGGGAGAGCATCCAGCCACCATAGCTCCGCACATACACTTTCATGTCTGGCATATCCGTGAAGTACAGCTACAGGAAAAGCACAGGAAATATCAAGCTAGTATATGATAGGAGCACATGTAAAGTATGTACTCTGTAATGCAAAGTAAGTACTCTAAACTATACAAGTACAGGTCAATATGCTTCTTCTGGACTCTGGAAAACTAATACTGTATATCAGGGTAATAGATCCAGGTTTTTAGAGAGATGGATTTATAACAGTAACCCTGACCGAAGCTGACCTTCTCATTTGTGGGATTTGGTGGGTTATCCTGATATTCTGATGGTAAAAGAAAACTCAGAGTGTAGATCGCAGGCTCCCACATCTTCCTGTCCTCTGGAATTTTCACCAGGACTGGAGCTGTCATGTCCATCTTCACACCTGTAGACAACCACATTGCCACATCAAGTCCTAAAATTCACACATACCAGCTTGGATCATCCAAGCAACCTGTGATCATCTTCCCTAGATTATTGAAGACACCTGCTCCTCATTTACCCACCACAACCATTTAAATGCCCCTTGCATCTGCTAGTTCCTTTTGAGGAACTGTGAATTCTTCTCCATACTAAGTGGTCCCAGTATGATTTCCTTTCATAGTGTTACCAGCAATAGCTGGCAGGGTTCTGCTAATCTGCTTTTCATTAGCAGATTAACAATCAAAACCTTTTGTAAACCCTAAAATCATACATATTTGTTGCTGTCTGTCTGCAACAATATAGCTGAAATCTGTTGGCTGACTACGTGTAAACACAAGATGTGATTAGTCAACTACTTCTGTAGTTCAGTTGACTTGTGATGTTAGTCTTACTTCTGCATCAAGCCTATACAGGGCTTGCGCCACAGCATATGCAAGTGGCTGGTACAGGTTGATTTTATTTGGTTCTTTTATTTGGTTAAACCAAAAAGTGTAATTTTTACTTCATTTATGTGTGCGTCTAATACTGCAACTCAGTAAGCATCTTATCTATCCATCCATCCATTCCCAGCCGCTTGTCCGGGGTTTGGGTCGCGGTGGTAGCAACTTCAGGAGAGACACCCAGACCTCCCTCTCCCCAGCCACCTTTACCAGCTCTTCAGAAAGGATGCCGAGGCGTTCCCAGGCAGATATACTCCCTCCAGCATGTCCTGGGTCTGCCCCAGGGCTTCCTCCCTGTAGGACATGCACGGAAAACCTCTCTGGGTAGCCATTCAGGAGGCGTCCATGCCAGGTGTCCAAACCACAAACTGGCTCCTTTCTACGTGGAGAAGCAGCTGTTCTACTCTGAGACTCTCCCGGATATCCGAACTTCTCACCCTATCTCTAAGGGAGAGCCCAGACACCCTGCGGAGAAACCTCATTTCGGCCGCCTGAATCTGCAATCTCATTCTATCAGTCACTACCCACAGCTCATGACCATAGGTGAGGGTAGGGACAAAGATGGACTAATAGATCCAGAGCTTTGCTTTCAAACTCAGTTCTTTCTTAGCCACGACTAACCGGTTAAGCGCCTGCAGAACTGCAGATGCCACGCCGATCCGTCTGTCCAGCTCTCGATCTCATCTACCCTCACTACTGAACGAGACCTCGAGATACTTGAATTCCTCCACTTGAGGCAGTACCTCCTCCCTGACCTGAATAGGGCAATCCACACATTTCTGGCTGAGAACCATGGTCTTGGACTTGGAGGTGCTATTCCTCATCCCTGCCGCTTTGCACTCAGCTGTGAACCGCCCCAGAGCACGCTGGAGGTCCCCAGCAGATGGAGCAAACAGGAAAACATCATCTGCAAAAAGCAGCAACGCAATCCTTAGGCCACCAAACTGGACACCCTCAACACCCTGGCCGCACCTAGAAATCCTATCCATAAATATACTGATGACAAAGGGCAGCCTTGGCGGAGCCCATCACGAACTGGGAACACGTCCAATTTATTACCACCAATGTGGACCAAGCTTCTGCTGCGTTTATACAGGGACCAAATCGCCCGCAGCAGTGGACCTCGAACCCCATACTTCCGAAGCACCCCCCACAGAACACCTTGGGCAACCCGGTCATAAGCCTTCTCCAAGTCCACAAAACACATGTAGACTAGGCAAACTCCAAGGCGCCCTCCAGTACCCTCGCAAGGGTATAAAGCTGGTCCAGTGTTCCAAGGCCAAGACAAAAACTGCATTGTTCCTCCTGAATCCAAGATTCTACTATCGATCTAACCCTCCTCTCCAGTACCCCAGAATAGACTTTCCCAGAAAGGCTGAGAAGTGTGATCCCCCTATAGTTGGAACACACCCTCCAGTCCCCTTTCTTAAATAAGGGAACAACCACGCCGGTCTGCCAATCCAGCGGCACTGTCCCTGACCTCCACACGCTGTTGAGAAGGCATGTCAGCCATGACAACCCCACAGCATCCAGAGCCTTGAGGTACTCAAGGTGAATCTCTTCCACCCCCAGGTCCTGGCCATCACGAAGCTATTTAACCACCCTGGCCATCTCAGCCCCAATGATGGGCATGTCCACCCTAGCCCCCTCAGGCCCTGTGCCCTCAGATGTCTCAAAGGCAGTACGTATAGATCTGAGGCAGGGTTGAGGAGATCCTCAAAGTATTCCTTCCACCTATGAGTGATATCCCCAGGTGAGGTCAATAGCACCCCCTCCCCACTGTGAACATTAGGAACCAGGAGCTGCTTCCCCTTCCCAATACTCCGGATTGTTTGCCAGAACCTTTTTGAGGCTGACCGAAAGTCACTTTCCATGACCTGAGCAAACTCCTCCCATGCCCAGGTTTTTGCTTCCGCAACTACCCGAGCCGTGTTCCGCCTGGCTTGCTGCTACCTGTCAGCTGCCTCTGGAGACCCCCAGGCTATTAATTCCCGCTAGGCCTCCTTCTTCAGCTTGACAGTCCCCCTCAGCTCTGGTGTCCACCATCGGGTACGGGGGTTTCCGACCACCCTGCAGCCACAGCGCCGTACGGCTGCTTCCACAATGGAGGTTCGGAACAGTGTCCATTCAGACTCAATGTCCCCAACCTCCCCTGGTATGCAGTTGGAGTTCTTCCAGAGGTGCGAGTTAAAGATCTGGCAAACATGAGCCTCTGGCAGACGTTCCCAGCAGACTCTCACTATGCGTTTGGGCCTGCCAGGTCTGACCAGCTTCCTCCCCTGCCAACTGAGCCAACTCACTACCAGGTGGTGATCAGTTGACATCTCTGCCCCTCTCTTCACCGGAGTGTCCAGGACAGAAGGCCACAGATCAGATGAAACGGTTATAAAATCGATCATCGACCTGTAGCCCCAGGCAGGTTCGTACCATGTCCACTTATGGACACCCTTATGCTCGAACATGGTGTTCGTTATGGACAAACTATGCGTTGTACAGAAGTCCAACAACAGAACATGACTCGGGTTCAGATCAGGGAGTCCGTTCCTCTCAATCACCCCCTTCCAGGCCACACTGACCCGAAGGTGCAGGGAGATAGCCCTCTCGGGGTAAACTCGTATGTTAAAGCACCGAGCTGTGGGGACACCAGTAGCCCCACCCCAGCCTGGCATTGGTCACCTGCTACAACTCTAGAAGAAAAGAGCATCCAGCCCCTATCCAGGAGATTAGTTCCAGAACCCACGCTATGCGTTGAGGTGAGCCCGACTATATATAGCCGGTATCTCTCAACCTCACGCACAAGCTCAAGCTCCTTCCCCACCAGTGAGGTGACATTCCATGTCCCAAAAGCCAGTTTTGTAAGCCCCCGAAAATATAGCCCCCAGGGTCACTGAGGCATGCTAACCCCTCCACCATGATAAGGTGGCAATCCAAGGAGAGGATCTAGTTTATATATTATATAATTATAAAACTGCATTGCTGCAATGTCTAGTTACATTTCTGGGGAGATACACATCAGCCTATGGAGAGTCGTCCAGATACATTCATACTCACCATCCTCATTAGCTCCAGAGATATATTTGAAGAGTCTCCTGAAAGCCATGGCAGCACCAACACCCATAAAGTAGGCCTCTGCGTCTGTGGACACCCATTTAACAGGGTCATAGTGACGTACCTGCAAGATGTGCAAGTGTCAGTCTCCTGTTGTTTCAGATAAACCAGTCAGACAGTCTCTCAGGCTAATTGACAGGTCTTAGAGCACCACATGGGCCACACGTTATGAACATACTCTGACATCAGCTGTGCCCTACTGCTCTCTAGGAAGACAAAGGCTAATGGAGAACACCATAAGAGAAAAAAACATGTGATGTAGACAGTGGCATGACAATGGGTTTCCAGCAGCTTCATGGAAAAGCTATAACGATCTGGAATAGGGAAAAGATCAGCATGGTGTCTAATAGTTTTCTTTTTTGAGATGTGCTAAGACATAAATATCACACTGCACACTACATTACTCTAAACCTTAGGCATAAGCAGACGGCACTTTGCACACAATATTACTCTAAACCTCAGGCATAAACTTAAAAATCAAGTTCAAAAATGAATGTCAAGCAATTTGTTTGAATATGTGTGACAGAATCTTTCTTTTCAGTATTTTATTAACAGCCCACAATTTGTTTTTTAAATTTTGCATTCCCTCACAAAACTTTTGTGTTCCCACAAAATACTTTTGTGATACCTCACTAAAGTTTTGCATTACTAATAATGACTGTACTATGTCTGTTTAAAGTACAAAACATACAATTAATGGACTAATAACTAAAAACCTAAACGATACAGACATGTCCAGTTAAGTGCACTTTAAGCATTATATTATGCATACTTTCATATGTAAGTTTTTATATGTATTTATTAATAATTGCACTGTGTCCATTCATTGCCAGTGATTGTAAGCAAGACAGCTGGGCTACCTTGCAGACACAAACACTGAAATATTAATTAAAATTCACCCGTAAAGAAATTTAGAAAACCAAGGGGTGTTGCTTGGTTTTGTTGAAAGATATTACTGCCATAAAACTGAATCTGAAGCTAACATTCCCTTAGTTAAGGTTCAAACCCGAGACAACTTTCAGGTATACCTTCCTGGTATTCTCGCTTGATGAAGTATGTATATAACATAAAATATACATAAAAACACATAATATGGAAGTTACACAGTGTACATTGTCCCCTATAGTTTAAGGACATATACACTTAACGTTGCAGTAAACAGCAAATGGGCAAGTGTAGTGGGATCGCAAAAGCATTGCAAGGGAATGCAAAAGTATTGCGTGGGATAGCAAAACTATTTCAAAAAATGTTTTCCTACCCTGGGAAAAGGGCTCTGTAGACAGCAAATGACAATATTACAACAAACGGTCTAATGTGCTTACTTTGGGTACAGTGACACTTTAAAATTCAAATGGGTTAATTATAGTTTTTATGAATTATGAATTTTTCACATCATGTTTGAACGAATGTTCAAATATAGGTTAAAAACTGACAGCCTTATTGAACACCAAATTAGTCTAAACCTCAGCTGTGAACAAATAGCACATTGCACACCACATTACTCTGAACCTCAGGCGTGAACAAACTGCACACTGCACACCATATTACTCTAAGCATCAGGCATGAACTAACGGTACATTGCCCACCATATTACCTTAAACATCAGGTGTAAACAAATGGCACATTTCTGAAAAGCAAAATGTAATGCTTTCATTCCTTGGCACTAAGTATGCCACATAATACTGAAGCAAAAAATGGATGTGATCAGAGTGATCCTGCAAGAACACTGACACCTCTAGATTGGATGCCAGAAGCACATCTGGGAAAGCTGGCTATGACTAGATAGAAAAGCGCCATTTGAAGTTTGTGATAAATCCTGCCACTTGTCTCTCTGCAAAACAACTAACAAGCACTGTCACCAAAAAACACTGAAAATTGAGGACAAAGAGGTGCAATATCACATGTCACAGGATGACAAGTACAGCTATAGTTGTCCCTGTCTCCACATGGCAGAACTTCATGTGTCATGTCTATGGAAGACAGTGTGCTGCTCACACCACATTATACAGCCATCAAAGAGTCCATGTGAAGCTGACGACAGTCAGTAACCACTGCTCTGAATGGACAGCCAGCAGGCCGTCTCCTCTCCCTACCTCATAGTCAGCAGTCCTGCAGACCAGGTCAAACAGCAGACACTCTTTTGATTCTGAGCAGAAGCTGGATGAGTTATTATGGCTGAAACAGAAACCAGGTTACCAGCACAAAGAGATCAAGATTCAAAATCACCAAGGTAATATTTGGTTCATAGGTTTTACTACACTTTCTGCTTTGCATTTCAGTAATAATAACAATGACACTTTATTTATACTGTAACTGTCCTAATGACAGTGTGTTCAGAAAGTTCATTTTTGTTATAAATTGAGTTACCTAAATTTGTTGTGATCTTTAAAATTTATTTAAATTATGTTTATTGAATAATTTAAAATTCTATGCAAATTGACGCAAAGCGTAATGGGTCACATGACTGACGTTTGGCATGGTTTTGGCGCGGTGACACTGGGGAAGAGGTAGTTGCACAGTGCTGAAAGGGATTTAACTCTGCATGTGGTCCAAGAGGTGCACATGGTAATTGTTAATTGTTTTTGTGTTGTATGTGATTATAATTAAATGTGTATTTATATGTACGATGTATCTTTGTTTCGGTTAATTGTGAGTGTGATGTATTTTGGATGAGCTTGCATGTTTGTGACGGGGGTGCTAAGGAAGAGACTTGTATGGACTGTGTGATGTAAATTTTTGTCTTTATTTTGTTATAGTTTTCACGGTGTCTGCTGAGGAGAGAGAGAGAGAGAGAGAGAGATACAAATAAACCCTCAAAGACATCTGTAGGAAGCGTGGCCATTGTTCAATTGGACCCGTGTAGCTACATATACAAATACCAAATTCTTTGGTCATCACAAGTGCCATTATGCATTCTTATGCAACACACACAAGTGAGAGAGACAAAGTCTATTATATTAAAAAATTATACTAAAAATTCAGGTCAAATACAATGGAGTGTAATAACATATAATGTACACTCACCTAAAGGATTATTAGGAACACCTGTTCAATTTCTCATTAATGCAATTATCTAATCAACCAATCACATGGCAGTTGCTT